GATAGAAGTTTTCAAACCAATACAATTTCAAATCATGTAATGTTTATTTTGTTCAAACAGGCGTTGTAAAGAGACGTAGGGATCTCATTAACATCTGTATTGGACACAACAATCTCCTCACTTTGGCAATGTAATAATGAAAAATATAGATACAATAGAAATCTACATCACAAACAAAAGAAGCTGTTAACAGTTACATACTATAGCCATCTTCATGAAGGAGAATTCCTTAGATGCTATGAGCCTTCATCAATTTGTTGCTATTCAGTATAGAGATTGGGATCTGGTAAACACAAAGATACCTCCACCACCAACAGCGCGACCCAAAAGTATGTTATCATCCAAATAACTAAGGTAATATAGTCCTCCTACTGATTCCCTACATTTCATTAACAACTCATCACATTCACATACACTTTTTATCAAATAAACACAACTATTTCAACATAATATACCTTTCTGGATTCCTCACAGGGATTTCAACTTTTAAACCGCGCAGAAACTGCAAGATCTGCATCAGAGAATACAATTGTATACAACTTATAAACATTGTGTCCGTGTATATCACACAGCCGTAGATTTTAAGGATAAATTAGTTACCTGCAGAGTTATAAAAGATCGCGGTAGTATTGCTGGAGCTATTAGAGCCTGCAACTCTTCACTAATTTTTATGTCTCGTACCGTGATCTGCCAGGTGTAACTCACATGTTTCATTTAATTTTACAACAGCATCGTGTGCTTACTAATTACCAACTAAAGAAGGAAACATCATATTATTACTCAAATATCAATACTAGAGTAGAGTTCAGAAGTGAAATTTGAGGGTATATCGATCATAAGTAACAATTCAGATTATATTTAGACCTAGTATTTATCGTTAAGCTCTAACACTTGTTCAGGAAATAATAAACTCTACTCCATGATAGAATAGATAAACGGGCCTGGAATAAATGCTATGATTGAAAGCCAAAACTAAATTAAACAGGGGTGTTCATTACAACCAGCACAAAACTTATATTAACAGGAAAAAAAGGAATTATATGTACCATGTACTGCAAAAACGTACATCTATTTAGGTAGATGTTTCTCGACTATCGTAGAATGCATTTTCATGAGATTCAAAATGCTTACCTCTTGAAACTTAAGGTAGATATTACGCATGGAGACAACTGTAAAGTTGGCAGAAACAAGCAATGTAGCACCTTCTTGTTCCTGTACAAAACATGCTAAGAAATTTTTATTTTTGGATATAATGAAAGAGCACCAAAGCTAAAAAGGGAACAACATATGCAATTGCAGAAATTTAAAGGAACTTAGGTTTCGACTCTTAAGGTTATGTCAGTTTCCAACACATCTGAATACACCCTTTAAAAAGTAATGTCAAGAGTTTGCATGGAAATCATATATCGTGAACTTTCCCATTGCTTCTCCTGCAAATTTGTAGGAGTTAAAGCACAAGCCATGTTCAAGGAGATTGACAACAAAGATAAAGGAAAAGTCCAAATGTTCTTAATCCCCTTTATAAATTTTGATCCCCCTGGAAAGAAGTATATTCATGTTGCTTTTTGCAATGCATTTTGTTACAATAACAACAACAACCAAACCTTAACCCACTAGGTAATGTTTGCTACATGAATCGAACGATGCAATAGTGCTCTATCATAAATCATGTTCATTGATAAAACATTGATATCTAAATATTTTTTAATTGTTTCGCCTATGGTTTTTCTTAGATCTCTCTTCCTCTAGAAATTGATTAACCAGACGAGAATAAAGATAGAGTCCCATTCTACATGTCAATACTGACAACAATGAAATTTAGAGTAAGAGGAAAATCCGTCAACTTTATAAATCATGAGAGTTCAAGTCCCTCTATTCCCAAAAGTCCAGGTTCACTCTCTAATTATTTCTCCTAAATTATCTTTCTTTTTTTATTCATTATATGTTGGATATAACCTACATTTGATATACTCTTCTTATTGAAGCTTCTAACCGCCTCCTCCGCACATGTCCAAACAACCTAAGGCGTGATTCTACCATATTTTCAACAATAGAAGATACCCCAACTTTCTCCCCAATGCATTCATTTTTAACATTATCTTGTCTAGTATGTTCACTCCTCCAACGCATTTTCTTACAATAGTAACTAAAATATTCAATTATAAATAAAAAAAAGAATACAAATGAAAAGCTTTTTTTCCATCTTCAACTCTAAGAGAATATATAGGAATCAATTGAGGAGTATAGTGTAGTTAATCTCTCCATGATACTGCAGAAACAAAAAGAGAATAAAGCAATTGACAAGTGAAGTGAAATCACGGCAAGTTCGGGAGAGAGTCATGAGTCCTAACTAAGAAAGGAGCAAGTAAAGGAAGGTGCTGTTTTACCTCTAACAAGTTTGGAATACTCCATTGAACAACATTGCGGATAACACCTCCATTAGATTGACCACAACATTCAAATTTCTGAAAGATCTGTCCTACCTATATCTCACCAGGGAATCAAATGAATTAATAAAAAAGGTAAGTGAACAAAAGAAAAAATAACAGAGAACAAAGGAAAAACATCACCACAATGAATTTCACAGATATAATAACAGTAAACAAGTGTAGCACCTAACTTGTGGCAATCATGTTAATGAGAAGACAGACCCCTACCCTGAGGAAGCAAGGCACTCATAAAAAAGATCTATAATTTAATGAGAAAGCATGGTGTAAGAATTTAATTCTAACCTAGAAGCCCTGTCTATAAAATGGTTAATGTCAACAGTTTTTCATAATCAGAAAAGCAGAATAAAGAGTCGGAAGAAATTAAGTTGGGAGAAGTTTTAGGCCAGTTTATACTGGCTTGTATTTATATCACCTCTTTCATTTATATGTTTGTTTGGTTAGACTTTTATTAGAAAGGATAGTAAAATTGATTGTTAGTACTTGAAAGAAAGGAAGTGTAGCAGCAGCTTGCAGAAGAAATAGAACATCAGGAGCAGAAGTATACTGTAAGCGCCATGTTCCATCCAATTTGGCCAAACTGATGGGTTCACCCATGTTGTATCCTTCTACATTTACCTGATATTGCGAATCACATTCCCGAATATATTATTAAAAAGTAAGGTAAGGTGTAAGGTTAATTAGTAAGTAAATATTAGTACTAACGAGAGCTTCCTCAATAGAAGAGCGTTGATGAGGAGTTGTGAAGAGGCCCCTTTGTGTGTCTTGGATAGAGGTCAAAAGTTGATGTTTTTTGTTCTCTAACTGGGTAAAATGAAATAGAAGATTAGTTAGTAATAGTATATAAATATGTAAAAAAGAAAGAAGAGGAAGGTAAGAAAGTGACATGGGGAGTAGCTAAGGATGAGATGGTGAAGGAGAAATTCCTCCTGAGACGGGTGGTGGTTGTTGTTGTAGTTGTAGTATTAAAGAATGATATGAAAGATGATGACTTGGTTACATGGGAATTGAGAGTCTTAAGGCATAAGGGTGAAGAAGGGAAAGGGAAAGCCAAGTCCATTCCTGCAATTGCAAAGGGAAGAAAGAAGAACACCATGTTTGATTCACTCAGTGGGTGAGTGAGTGGTGAGTGAAGTTCCACGCCTTGGGTTGGGTAATGGGTAATGGGTAATGTTAAGGTTGTTATTTACACAAATCAAAAACTCTGAAGAACCTTAAGCAGTGATTTTATGTCTGTCCATATTTCAAGGTTATCATTGTTCATTCATTTTCAGTTTTTATTAATCACCACAGAGAAATAAATATTGTTCAATTTTTTATGTGGATCGAAGATTGGGGAAAAATTCAAGCATTGAAAGAAGAACATGTGATGGACAATGCAATGAACATTGGATAAATGTCATGATTCTGACTTAGTGTTAGAATTGCTCGAATTTCCTTATGATTGGTAAACTATCAATACTAGAATTTTGAATGTCATGATTCTCACAATCATAAATATAAAACAGAGATTTCAATATCATATTTGAATCAATGTTTTTAGATATGTTTCTTGCGTATGTCTTTCTCAACCAAATCATTGATTCCTCTTGGGACTTTCGTTTTCTCTCTGATGAGGAGAGCTGAAAACTATGTTTGATTTGGTGTATTAGAGACCATAACCTTCCTGAAGTGTTAACTTATACGGTTCCGATTATTCCCTATTGATTTGGTGTATTAGAGACCATATTCATGATCAGTTTATTTTAGAAGTCACAAGGATTATGAGTAATTAGATCACTTGTTTTATAACCCAAAAAATAAATAGCCAATATAATTGTATAAATATATGAATTAAAAATTATGAATTTCTAACATGATCTACATAGAGCAAATTGGAAGGCATATAGACTAAATTATATTTGTTACAAGATTTCACCAGATTAAAAGACTTAAACAAAATAAGACATGAAATTAGAGGGATCATTACAACACTTTCATGAGAAGAAAAAGAGTTAAACATAATAAAAGACTTCGTCAAACTAAAAGATATCAATTCATAGAGATCATTTCTTGTTTGCATCAATTATTGTGGTTATTGGTGGCCTGAACCTTGAATGATGTTTTATTTGTTGGAATGTATTTTGTTGCTCTGATATGCACTTGGTTATGGTCGGATATTAAAAAATAGTTTCTGCCTAAAACAATCAAACTAAAGAGCGGATCAAGACCAAGTGGCTTACAACATGCCCGACTAAAATCATTTAGTAACACAAGTCATCATAACGACCTACATTGATTTGGATCAATTAACCGTAATAACTTCAAGTCTACCATGACAATGTCGCTCGAATGTGGTAACTTTTCTACCATATTATGAGGACGGGTCAGAGTCCAATTACCAAACATACAAGATCTGATCTTTATGGTTATCGATCTTATTTCAAATCTATTAGCATGCCTATCAATAGTCATGCCACCAAATTGGAAGTAATTATTCTACCCTAGTATTAGTATCAATCATATATCAAATATGAGATATACAAGATATAATTTGCACGACTAGTGACGATTCCCGAGCACAAAATATTTAGCCTATGCAAACTATAGATTAACGTCGAGCAATGAATCACAAATTTTAATGAGTTCAGTATGTAATAATATCTCTGACACTAACCCTAATAAATCAGCTAGTGGTCTCCACGTATTTTGATTATACACGTGTGAAATAGCAATTGGTGGGTGAAGGAGAGCACACGCATATGTGTCCGCAGGGGATGAAAACCTTAGAACAATGAATGAGATGATTGAATGGTACAAAAGGCAGTGAGATGAGAATTCAGATCAGATCTAAAACTGAAGCTCAAAATCAAAATCAAA